CTAAGTTCCACAGAGCTGTGAGAAGGTTTGGCTTTGGGTGAGGAACCCAGGCTTCCTCATTGTGGGAGGGGAAGTATGGAGGACAGGTGGTTGGCCCAGGGTGGGGCAGGTTGCTAGGCACTCACATTTCTGTGTTCCCATTGTCTACAACTAGGGCAGGCCTTGGTAGGGGGTTTCAGATCCTGATACTCCTTAGCCCAATATCCCAATTGACTGCATCTGAAGCAAGGATGGGGGAACTGACCCCACCTCCTTGTGGCTGAGAGGGAGGGTCCTGGACTAGCAGCCCTGGGGGTGGTGGGCTGGGCATTTTGGAAAGTGTCTGCTAGCAGCTGAAAGTCAGCTTGGTGCTCCTTCCTGTCCTGTTGTCTCTCTTGTTCTCATTCCTTTTTAGCTTCCTCTTCCCTGCCATTTAAAACCTTAAAAGCCAAGTCTAGAAGCTCATTTTTTGAAGTGGAAGGCCCCTTCCAGGCACTGTAACTTTTTCCTTATGTCAGGTGTGCACTGGCTCATAATGTGAACATGAAGGAGTAGGGTACCCTCTGTGGAATCAACATTAACATTAGTATGCTAAGTAATGGCCTCTGAGATGCAGTTAAGGAAGAGGATGAGGTTTTCACGGGTGCCTTGGGTGACTTCCTTAAGTTTTTCATAATTGACTCTCAAGTGGATGTTTTCTTTTTTTTTTCCTTGGTCATGGGGCTTGAACTCTGGGCCTGGGCGCTGTCCCTAAACTCTTCAGCTCAAGGAGAGCACTCTACCACTTGACCCACAGTGCCACTTCTGGTTTTCTGGTGGTTTATTGGAGATAAGAGTCTCACAGACCTTCCTGCCTGGGCTGGCTTTGAGCAATGATCCTCAGATCTCAGCCTCCAGAGTAGTTAGGATTACAGGTATGAGCCACTAGCGCCTGGCTTCAAGTGGGTGTTTTGATGCATGCCCTCTGCCAGGCAGGTTACCATAAACTGAAAGTACTCAGAACCACTGGCGTTGTTTTGATAATTTCAGTGGGAGTCGCTTGCAGGGACAGCCACTGTTCCCAGGGGAAGTGGGCATTTTGTTCATTTAGCCTATCAGTGTAATCCCTGGATGACTTTAAAATGTGCTCTTTTTCATCTGGCGTTAGAGTCGAATTAAGAAGGTGCTGAAGATCATGCCAGGTTAGAGAGTACAATTGGACAATCCTGGTAGACTTTTAAAAAAAAAATATATATATATATAATGGAGAGGACTGCTTGAAAATGAGTCCAATCTTTGTTCAATATAATCCACCTCATTTAGGGTGAAAGGAACGTGAACTTGGGTCGGTCGGTCCTGTCCTGCTACCTCACAAAGGAGACGCATACAAGCTGTTTTAGAGCCACTGACAAGTGGAGACTGAATGAAAAGGGGAACCTGCAGGTGGAATGGGGTAGAGGGAGGAACTGAAGCAGAAGGTAATTGGGAAGTAAAGGCTGGAGGTTCTGGAGGTTGGCAGTTTCAGGAGTGGGAGTGGAAGGAGTGGGAGGGGAAGGATGTGGTGGGTAAGGACAAGGCTCTTTGTGGTCGAAGTTCAGGAGACTAAGTGAAGAAAGAGGCTGTTTGGGGGGTGTTTTAGAGTTTGAGGCAGGTGAGCAGCAAACAAGAATTTGTGAGGCAGGACAGGATGAACAGAGGGAAGGTTTACAATGTAGCAACCTCAAGCATATGGAACCTCAGACTCTGCCATTTCATTGGAGAAAACTCTTTACATCAGTAAGAAAACTAAAATCAAAGGTTCCGAATTCAGGCCAATGGTGGACATTGTCTAAAGGATAGTAAGGCTAGATTTCAGTGGATAAACAAGTCAATATTTTTGACTGTAACTCAGTCAGCCCAAGAGTCTTAAGGTTAGGCCACAGGCAAACCAATGGGATGTCTCTTGGAACAGACAATTTGGAGCCTATTTTGAAAAATTTGGTAGGACTATGGAGTGACCTGTCCCACTGATTCACATGTCCCTGAGGCTTTGGGAAGGCAAATAATTTGGAGAGGGAATCCCCAAAGTCTTAAAGGGTTCCAGGGGGTCAGCAAAATGTGAGAGACTCAAGTCTTTGGGGACCCCACAGACAGGGAGCAGGGATTTCCCCCCAGATCTGTAGGGGACTTCTTGGAGTCCTCTGGTCCATGTTGGGGCACCTCTGCCATTGACTAAGGCTGGTTACCTTGTCCTGAAGTCTTCTGGATGGTGGATGGAATCGGTCTAACAGCAGAGGTCCTCCTGCCTGGAGATTAAGAGTCTGGGGACAGAAGAGAGGGTATAGTAAGCCCAGGGTGGAGAGAGGCCTTGGAAAGAGGAGGATAGGAAAAAGTTCAATGAGAGGTGGCCAGGAGGCAGGTGGCCCCTTGGCAGAGAGGACCCAGTTACTCCTGGCACTTTACCTCTCCCAGGTTTAGGCACCAAATGTTAGGAAAATGGAGGAGACAGGATGGAAACAGGCCAGACTCTTTCACAGGTTAGGACTGTTTATTGAGGAATGAGGGATACAGCCTTCCTGCCGGCTTGGAGGCTGTGTCCAGGGGAGTGGGGTTAGACTTAGGGCTTTTTTGGAGTATGTGTAAGGAGACAGGGTTACTTGAGTTTAATATGGAGGGGGGTAACTCCAGGTGTGGGCAGAGACTAGGGTAGGTATTCCCTTATCCAAGGTCTCAAGGTGTTTTAATGTTCAAACAGCTCTACATCTGTCTTGCCCAGACTGTTTGACCTTAACAGGATACAGTTTTGCCTCACAGCTCAGCCTCTGAGCCATACATGCTGTGAGACCCTTATCTCCAATAAACTACTCAGAAAAAGCCTGAAATAGTGCTATGGCTCAAGTAGTAGAACTCTAGTCTTGAGTACCAAGAGGCTCATAGACAGCATTAACGCTCTGAGTTCAGGCCCCAGGACCAGCAAAATAAAAGTAAGCTTCCCCCAATTAGTAAGCTCAGAGGTAATATCTTTTTCTAGTTTTTTTTGTCACAAATATGCTCTGTGTTTTAGTACTAGTCCTGACCACTGTAGGAGATAGAAACTTCAACTCAGTTGAAAACCATCATATTTATTTCAAGATTTTATAAGTGGAGTAAATTGAATTTTTGAACACCTAATTCCTTCACTCTTGAGAGAAAATTACCCTCAGTTATTAATATGAACCCTCAAAGTTGTGCCTGAGTTCTGGTATGTTATGTGGTGCTCTGGTCACAAGTCATCTGCTCACACTGACTGATGCTGAGATATACACTGGGCCCCAGGCAGCACCTGCACAGGAATCACAACAATGACTTTCCAGGGAGTTCTAAACCTTTAGACTTGGGCTGGGGTTGCATTATTAGCACTCCTTGTTCTGAGGTTTCCAGTTTCTTAGACTGACCAGTTATCTAAGAGAAATTTATGTGCAAAGACACAATGGATATGTATTATTATTATTCATTTTGGATATGATAGAGCTTGACTATACAACCTGTACAAAATGCATGGATAACTTTGAAAAGCTGTGAAAAGTATCAGGAGGCAGATCAAGGAAGAATGCTAGAATTTAACAAACCACCAATAGAGCTGTGAGTTTATGACTTTTGCTCCTCCAATATCTCTTTTATACAACTGGATAAGAAAATGCATACTGGAAGCCTGGTACTGGTGGCCCATGCCTGTAATCCTAGCTACCCAGGAGGCTGAGATCTGAGGATCACAGGGTCAAAGTCAGCCAGGGGCAGGAAAGTCCCTGAGACTCTTATCTCCAATTAGCCATCAGAAAACTAGAAGTGGTAGAGCACTAGACTTGAGCAAAAAGAGCTCAGGTACAGTGCCTAGGACCCAAGTTCAAGCCCCACAACTGACAAAAAAATGAAAACTTCTATAAATGGATCCAATTGAAGAAATCTATTTTTGAAATAGGAGAAGCAAAGGAGAGTGGAAGATTTGCAGGTACCTACTTTCCTTCCTTTTCCTTCCTTCCTTCCTTCCTTCCTTCCTTCCTTCCTTCCTTCCTTCCTTCCCTCCCTCCCTCCCTCCCTTCCTTCCTTCCTTACTTTTCCAGGGCCTGCGATTTCTCTGAGAGCCTCTTTGTGCTCAAGGCTACTGCTCTACCACTTGAGCCACAGCACCACTTCTGGCTTTTTCTGAGTAGTTTACTGGAGATAAGGGTTTCTCAGACTTTCCTGCCCCAACTGGTTTGAATCGTGATCCTTAGATCTCAGCCTCCTGAGTAGCCAGGATTACAGGCATGAGATCCTGCCACCCAGCTGCAGATGCTTCTTTTACCTGTCCCACCTCTTACCATTCTCTTGTCCTCTGGTTACCAGGTAGTTCTCCAATTAGGGTGGTGTGACAGTGGAGCAACCTGGAATGGAAAACTTCAGAAGCCAAAACTCTGCAGAATCTTTTTTTTTTTTTTTCTTATTCAGTAGTGTTGCAACTCTACAAGGAGAACCCAAACTCAAGGCTTTGTGGGTTTTGTTTTCACTATTTAAAATTTCTATTTCTTCCTACCCCCAACCTATACCTTCCCTAATAGCTCAGAGACAGGTCAGTCAGCCTAGTTTCTGACATGGGTCATTTCTGGCTCCAGTTCAACATAAACTGAAGGCCAGGGAATCAGAAAGTTCTGGGAACATAATGTGAAACAAGCTCAGGAAAATGGACCCATAAAGCTATAAATATAAACTCTATGGTTTACCCTTGACCATTGCATTAGTTTTATAATCTTAAGTAGCAAAACAAAGACTCTGAACACTGAAATAAAGGTAAACCTCACAAACTTGATTTTATTTTTTTTTTAACATCACAGTTAACATTCAACTTGACAGCAGCTACAACTCAGGATACACCATCACCAAAGCTTCCCAGAACCAGATTATATTGATAGTAAGTTCTTTAAACGAAGGAAATGGTTGTCCACAACGACTGGGTAGTGTACATGCGAACCAAAATTTCGAGATTTGGGAATAAACACTTGCTGCTCTGATCTTGTACTCTACTGCTTGTGTTTATCAGTTTATGCTTAGAAACCATTAGGAGTTTGGGCCTTTTGACCCTGTCCACTCGAAGAGGCTGCTGGCTGTGCTGCTTTCTGCTTCATCATTGTCCAATCAAATGAGTAGTCATACTGCAGATTCAGGGTCCTGAAGAGGATACGAAATAGCTGCCTCAGGTACGTGTAATCCGGAGCTTCCTCAAAGCGCAGACCACGACAATAGTTTAAGTACATGGCAAATTCTACAGGGAACCCCTTACATAAAACTTCCACTGGAGTGGACATCTTCTTTTCACTGATCTTCTCGTATTTCTGTTTCTTTGTTGTAGCTTTTAGTCCCTGCCATGGGAGGCTGGTTCTATTAAAATACATTAAGACATATCCTAATGATTCCATATCATCTCGCCGACTCTGCTCAATACCAAGATGTGCGTTGATGCTGGCATACTGGGCAGTACCTGTGAGGTTTTTATCTTCTCTGTATGGTATGTGTTGTCTTGTCTTGTTGTCTCTGTACTTTTTGGCCAAACCAAAATCAATAAGGAACAACTGGTTTAATCTCGAGAAAGATTGGTATTGAGAAGTAGCCTGTGTTGTGCTTTTCTTCTTGCTCACAGGGGATGATTCTAAACACTTTCGGTGGTGACGCCCAATACCCATGAGGAAGTTGCCTGGCTTAATGTCTCTGTGGATAAAATTTTTTGTATGCAAATACTCAATTCTACTAATCATTTGGTCAGCTAACAGAAGTACCGTTTTCATGGTGAATCGCCGTGAACAGAAATTGAAAAGATCTTCAAGGTTGGGTCCCAGAAGATCCATGACTAGCACATTATATTCCTTTTCCTGGCCATACCAGCGTATGTGGGGGATACCAACGCCACCTTGAAGAATTTTATACAGTTTACTTTCATAGAGTAGCAGGGGGTGTTTGGCTTTCTGAGATTCTAACTTCACCGCAACTTCCTCCCCATTGGTGATATTAATAGCCAGATAAATGTCCCCAAAGGAGCCAGCCCCTATCTTCCGCACTAGTTTGTATTTCCCGCCTGCTATAAATTTGGTCTTGGTGGTGATGTTGCTGCTGCTGCTCGCCATACTGAGACACAAAGACGGAGGCTGGAACTAAGCAACGATACCTTTTAGGGACTGATGGAAGTTTCTGGGGCTTTGTCTGTCCGGTAAAGCTGAGGCAGGCAGCAAGAGAATGGAGGTCTTTGCTGCCTTCACAGGGACAAGGAGAACCTGGTCACTGCTGCTCAGTCAGGTTTCGTTTGGTCTTGTTCAGTCAGGCCGCAGTCTGTGAGGGGTGGTCGCAGTCGCTAGGGCTTGGTCTCTGTCTAGGCCGCTGCCTCTGGCTTGATCTCACAGCGGAGTCGTGGGCTGAAACCGGGCAGGGTCAGTTTCGGTGGCGGTAACGCGGCCACCACTGCTGCCCGGCTTGGGCCCCGAGGGCCCAAGTCACTCCACCCACGCCATCATCTTTTTGTCTGGCTCCAGCCACCACAAAACGCTCCCAGGCCCTGGGAGCCGCTCGTTCAGAGCGCGGGAACTCAAGTTTCCTCAACCGAGCTCGCGCACCCAGGAACTTCTGAGGTGAGTCACGTGTGTGGTAAAGATTCTATTCCCTGTGCAAGGCTTTTGAAAGCTGAACTGCTATTGGTTGAAACGCAGGCAAGGTGGGGCAGTTGCTGAGGAGGAATGGTCTCCACTGTTGGGGGAGGGGCGCAGAGGCAGTTCTGGTTTCTGACTCATGGAACTTTTCTGTACTTGATTGTGACAGTAGTTCCATCAATCTATATGTGTTAAAATTCGTAGAAATAGGGGAAAGGGAACAGAGATTGACAGAGTGGGTAGCATTGATTGGAATATATTGTAAACAAGTATGGAAAGGTAATAAAATCTCGCTCTTTATAACTAATGCAAACCAATTTTTATTTTTATTCTTTTTTTTTTTTTTTTTTTTTTTACTATTATACAGGGGCAGTACCAGAGGGGTTACCATTTCAAGCTCATTTTTGATAAACCTCTTTTTTTTTTTTTGTCGGTCCTGGAGCTTGAACTCTGGGCCTGGGCGCTGTCCCTCAGCTCTTCAGCTCAAAGCGAGCACTCTACCACTTGAGCTACAGCGCCACTTCCGGTTTTCTGGTGGTTTATTGGAGATAGGAGTCTCACCGTCTCTCCTGCCCCGGCTGGCTTTGAACCGTGATCCTCAGATCTCAGCCTCCTGAGTAGCTAGGATTACAGGCGTGAGCCACCAGCGCCCGGCTATTTCAAGCTCATTTTTAAACAAAGGTCATAGAAATATAAACCAAAGGAAGAAAAGCCAATTTGGGAGAATAATAAGTAATTTATATGATATTATACTATATATAATATATTATATACATTTTATGATATATAATTATATATTTTATTTATGGTATATATAATACTTATATACTTACTCATATATAATGTACACTTTATATTATATAATAGCATATATTGTATAATACTATGTTATATACTATATAATATATAAATATATCATATATATTATTGTATATTATTATATATTATAAATATATCATATATTATAACAAAATATATTATATAGCATATAATATGCAATATATTATATAGTACTATCTAATGCTATATAATATATAGTATATAATATGCAATATATTATATAATACTACCTATTATAATCTATTAGATAATATACATTTTATATTATATAATTATATATTACATATTATGTAACATATTACATAATTATATATGTATATTATTGTGAGGGCTATGGAGCCTTTGAGATTGTCTGGCGTCAAATTCTGGTACCAGCACTACCAATGTGACACCTAACACGTGACCTACCATCTTGGCTTCAGTTTCTTCACCCATCAAACATGGATAAGCCTAGTTCCTGCCTCCAGAGGTTGCTTTGGGGTGAAGGTTAAGGGAGATAATATATGTAATGTATATGAGTATAAGTCAACGTTAGATAGATGTTCAATGTAAGGGCCTGGGGTGTGGGAGGTGAGTGAGAGGACCAAAGCAATCATCCTGTGAATTACATTTGAGCCATAGCGAGATACTTGGTGTGGATTTATACAGTTATATTAATTTTAGTTTTGATGGACACAATATTTGCACATATCTGGGGTACAGTGTGGTGTCTGGATATGTGCATGTGAGCACGCAAGCCTATGCACATTCATGTGGGCACTGAATTCAGGGTCTTGCATTCTTCCTTGGCTTTTTTGTTCAAGACTGGCAGTCTACCGCTTAAAGTACACTTCCACTTTCTCTCAGATTCGTCTGCCCAGGCTGGATTTGAACGTGGTTCTCAGATCTCAGTCTTCTAAGTAGCTAGGATTACATATATGAGCCACCAACATGAAGCCAGTGTGGTATCTTGGGTAATGGTCAACTCAGAGGTGTTCTATACCACAACAGGGTGCATATATATATATATATATATATACACATATATATATACACATATATATATAATTATGCACTGTATAGCTCAAAATAGAAGAAAGGAGTTTGAATGCAGTGTTTATATTTGTAACCAAGTCTAACCCATTCAGCTACCATCTTTCCTCACTTCACTCTGGAATACCTGCTGATTTTCATATAGTTCCTAACTGGTGATGCTATCTCTACTTTGGTCCTTAGTTCACTGACTGGTCATGATCTCCAAACTAGGGTTTAAACTTCTCAACCTTGGCTGTGGATCAAAACCTCTGAAAAATTCTGCAAAACGACTATGACTCTTAAAAATGTAATGTCCTGAGTGACCAGAAAAAAATGGTCAGGTAAGTATCCTGGATTAAAGAGATAAGACAATGCTTGCATATGGACTGGGGAAATATCTATAGGGACTATTATTGGATTGTGTGGGTGGGGGGGTGTCCTTGGGCTTGAACTCAGAGCTTAGGTACTATTCCTGATTTTTATTGGTAGCTGATTCAGATTGATTTGTATTTTTGCTTCTCACAGTAGCTAGAGCCACTCTGTCTTCGGAGCAATCACAGGAAATGCATCACCAAGACTTCCCAGAAAAGTCTGACCAACCAGCTGAATCTTATTGTTTAAAATACACATATTCACATAAACTGACAAATGGGAATGTGCCTCCTATAGGAATATGTTAGCATTTACAAGTCTTCCATCTGTAGTACCAAACCCTCTACCAACCCCTTCATTCACCTAATTCAATCAAGATGCAAACTAAACTCAGTCCAAGTTCCTCTGGTCTTACTTGCAGTCTCTCATCAGCAGTAACCAGACTGTGATGTGACCATTAAGGTTGGCTCAGCCATTGAATTTTCTTCTTTTCAGACCTTCACGACGGGATGCTGCAATGAAACCAACAGTAATCAGTCAGACCAATGGTGACTGGAGGGTGATGTTTGGGAGGGTCAGAGCTCACCATCTGATCAGTTAAATGAAAAAGATTTGTTTTGGTAAAACTTGTCCTCCTCTGAGCCACTTCAGTGAATTGTTTGGGATTTAAAGAAGGTAGCAGGACTGGTAAGGGCTACTGCTGCAGCTTTATCCACTTGTTGAATCATGTCAGGTGTCAGTGGAGAATGGTGTGGATGGTGGCGCTGGGATGTCTGCTAACATCTCCTAGCAATGCTGGACAGCCAAGCTCTGGGCCATAGCCAGCCCATGTTCATCACTGAAGATGCAACCAAGCTTCTGCATGAAATTCCACCTTCATGTAAGGTTTGGGTAAAGGACACCTCCATGTTGTTGTTTAGGCAGAGGAGAGCTTATTAGCAGAAACGAACTACCTGTCCCACACAAGACAGAAGTGTACAGAGGGCTGCACCAGATGGAAAGGGGGACTGGTTATATAAGGAGAGGCAGGAGGAGATGTGATTGCAGTGAAAGCAAAAGTGATCTCAAGAGCCTGCTCCCAGGTGTGCCAATTACCTGGTTACAGATGCTGGGAAGGGACTTGCTGCTTTTCTTGGATGGACCTAACATTACAGTCTTTTCTTTTCCTTTTTTTGCTGGTTCTAGGACTTAAACTCAGGACCTAGGTGCTGTCCTCGAGCCTCTTTGTTCTCAAGGCTAGTGCTCTTCTACTTGAGCCTTAGTGCCATTTCCTGTTTTTTTTTTCTGAGTAGTTATTTAAGAGTCTCATGGACTTTCCTGCCTGGGCTGGCTTTGAATCATGATCCTCAGATCTCAGCCTCTTGAGTAGCTGTGTGAGCCACCACCACCTGGCACATTCCAGCCTTTGATAGTTATAAAGTGGCACTGATTCTCTTTGGTTACTTCTTTCTGGCAAGGGGCATCAACATTAGGGGTAGAAGGTGGAGATGTTGTTCAGTCCAGGAGGAGGCAGCATTAAGAGTTCCTTGGTGATAAGCCTGTTTGTCTTTGGATGAAATCTGAAAGAAGTCTTATGAGGTAGGGGGGCTGAATAAGAAAAAATAATATTAGAGGGCATGAAAATGGCAGAAATAAGGCAGTCATCCATTCAGGGTAGAAAAGAAAAAAAAAGGAAGATGACTTGGCTAGCTCCTGTTTCCTATGTTCCAGGTAGTCCTGGAGTTAGTAGAGCATGTCTCTAGCTACTTCTGACTGATTAACATCAGGTGACTAGGTGGAAGAGCATAGTGGACTAGTTAAGAATAACCACTCTAGGGCTGGGAAGGTGGCTCAGTGGTAGAGTGCTTGCCTCACATGCATGAGGTCCTGTGTTCGATTCCTCAGCACCACATAAGCAGAAAAAGCCGGAAGTGGTGCTGTGGCTCAAGTGGTAGAGCTCTAGCCTTGAGCTGAAGAGCTGAGGGACAGCACCAAGACCCAGAGTTCAGCCCTACAGCCGAACAAAAAAAAAAAAAAGAAGAAGAACCAGTCTGGCCGGGCCCTGTAATCCTAGCTACTCAGGAGGCTGAGATCTGAGGATGGCGGTTCAAAGCCAGCCCAGGCAGGAAAGACTCTTATCTCCATTTAACCAACAGAAAACCGGAAGTGGCACTGTGGATCAAGTGGTAGAGTGCTAGCTTTGAGCTGAAGAGCTCAGTGACAGGGTCCAGGCCTGGAGTTAAAGCTCTACGACCAACAAAAAAGAAAAAAGAAAAAAG